TATATTTTTCATATATACATACATATATAATATATGAAAAATTGATGTGGGTACTCAAATGAAAGGTCTCGGTGAATGTAACATCAGGATGAGCTTATATTTTTGAAAATGTCGATAGTTAACAAAATATAGGGTCATTTCTTAATTATTGACATTTTTAAAGTTATAAGCTCATCTCGATGTTACACTCATCGAGACCTTTCATTTAAGTACCCACATGGCATTTTTTATATATTTTTTATATATATGGTATTTGTGAAATATATAAATATATAAAATATATGAAAAATTGATGTGGGTACTCAAATGAAAGGTCTCGATGAGTATAACATCGGGATGAGTTTAGATCTTTAAAAATGTCAATAGTTCACAAGATACAAGGGCATTTCTTAATTATGTATCTAGAGATAGAGAATGATATGAAGCCTTGAAAAGAACACAAATTCAAGTCAAGACCTTTGTAATGACACTAAAAAAAGTTACCTTGGCAGCAGCACTTAATTCGTCATTAAGAATAAGCTCCGGAGAATGATGACGTCGTCTGTATTCATTATGAACTGCAAGAGCTTCTTTCTGCCAAGCTTGTTGATCGAGCGTTTTGAAGCTGATTTTAAGTCTAGCTGTGAAGCGGGACGGTGAGGAAGTACTTTCGACCGGCGGGAGTACGTTTTCCATAAAGCTGCCCAGAAAATTACCAGCTGGGTTGTAATTACACACGACATAAACTTCCCCATTGCGATTGCGGGCCATTCCTACGCCCAGCTCGGTGCTGCTGCGCCAGACTATTTGGGTGAAATGACCAGTCTTAAGGGTCGTTGGTTCTCTGTTGTACTGGTGTTGACTTTCTTCGGCATACCTATCAAAAAAAAATATTAATTTTCAATAAAAAATTTATTTAAATAATTAAAAAATGTAATTATTTGGATACTCACCAATCATTAACAGGCTCATCACCGTTGACAATTGTTTTAGGATTTGAACTCCACATACAGTAAAGATTCTCGCCATATTCAATATTTGCACGATGTTCTAATCTTCCTTTTGTAGCTAAAATATTTGCCCAATCTTGACTTGTTTTGCAAAGCTGTTGAAATATTTATCCATTAATTGATTAATATTAATTACATTATATTATTAAAATGTTAATTTTAATTAATTATTCACTCAAATTTTCTTCATGAATCTTTATTAATTAATTAATACAAATATTAAACCAAAAATTACCTGTTTATTGAGTCGCAATGCAGGAACGCCATGGCGGTTACGATGATAATTGTGAGTCTCCAAACAAAGATTGATGAATTCCTTGTCAGGTCCAAATCTACGCACAGACGGTTTACGCGTGTCAGTCTTTGTTATCTACAACAACATACGTACTAATTAAACTTTTTCTGTATACGTAATTTTGAATAAAAAAAAATTGTTCTTTTACCAAATGAATCATCGCGGATAATTTTTAAAGTAATACAATATAATTAAACGTCTTATTTTACAAGTAAAAATAAACTCACCCGCAGCAATTCCCCATTATATAAAGATCGATTATTATTTTAACTTTAAATATTTACTCGACTTAATTATCTATAAATTTATATGATAAGAGTTTCTGACGGTTTTATTACTTGTTTTTATAAATGACAATCAAAACAAGTGAGTTTTTAAAATAATAATGATTATTTTTTTACACGGAAAACATTTGTTTTTTTTTCTTAGTTCATTTTTTAAACTTTTCATAACTTACTAGCAACCGTGCAGTCACTATGTGACTGCAGTGAATTGTAAACTAAAGAAATTAAAATTTTGCTTTATTAAATAATGAATTTTGTTAAATTGAACTGTACTTTCTTAAATATTGACGTTTTTTAAGATATAAGCTCATCCCGATGTTACACTCATCAAGAGCTTTCATTTGAGTACCCACATGCATTTTCATATATTTTTGATATATACATATATATATAATATATATAAATATATGAAAAATTGATGTGGGTACTCAAATGAAAAGTCTCAATGAGTGTAATGTCGGGATGAGCTTATATCTTTAAAAATATCAATAACAAATAAATTTCCTTTTATCTTGTGAAATATTGACATTATTAAAGATATAAGCTCATCTCGATGTTACACTTATCGTGGGTACTTAAATGAAAGGTCTCGATGAGTGTAATGTCAGGGTGAGCTTATATCTTTAAAAATATCAATAACAAATAAATTTCCTTTTATCTTGTGAAATATTGACATTATTAAAGATATAAGCTCATCTCGATGTTACACTTATCGAGAACTTTCATTTGAATACCCACATCAATTTTTCATATATTTGATATATTTATATATATATATATATATGTATCTATGAAAAATATATGAAAATGCATGTGGGTACTCAAATGAAAGCTCTTGATGAGTGTAACATCGGGATGAGCTTATATCTTTAAAAACGTCAATAGTTAACAAAGTACAGTGCAATTTAACATAATTAAGAAATGACCTTGTATCTTGTGAACTATCGACATTTTTAAAGATATAAGCTCATTCCGATGTTGCACTCATTGAGACCTTTCATTTGAATACCCACATCAATTTTTCATATATTTTATATATTTCACAAATACCATATAAATAAAATATATAAAAAATACCATGTGGGTACTCAAATGAAAGGTCTTGATGAGTGCAACATCGAGATGAACTTATATCTTTAAAAATGTCAATAGCTCACGAGATACAAGGTCATTTCTTAATTATGTATCTCGAAATAAAGCATTTTTGAATGCAGCCTAAATACTTATCATCATATTTTGTTACCAAAAATTGAAATAAAAAATTTATTTTTCACCTAAAATTAAATTATTAAATTACTTATCCATTTAATATATTGAGAACAAGCGGCAAGTAATTGCTCAAAACTGACTAAACATTGTGACGAATAAAAAAGAAAAATTTACCATAAACTCATTACAAACTTTCTTCAACAATATAACACCCATTATCCATAGATTATTTGGGCAGTTAATTTTTATAGCTATCCATTGCGCTTAATGATAAATTAACAATAAAAAGTTTAATAAAAAAAATGAACTGAAGATTTATAATCGGTCCGTTAAGCCTAACTATTAAATATTACAAAAAGATCTAATATAATATAATTTCATCAACCGAGAACAAAACATGTCGTCTCGTTCTCATTCCCTTTAATTTCCTCTTCCTCTCAAATATTTTCTCCTACGAATCTTAAACTTAAATAATACCCAACTTTCCATCGGCGTTTTCTCGCCGTTAGTTAATTTAACGCTTTGTTGTACTCTACATTCATCTGATTCAATAACTCGAGCTTTATAATTATAATTTTAATCATAACATCTTCTCATTTCATCTTAAGAGCTAAGTTCATTTTTATTCCTGCAATAAAAAATTAGATTAATAATAAAAAATAAGAAAATTATTATTTACCGGCGTTGAAGAGTAACGAGCAGAGTCTGGAGATGCCGATGATGACCTAGCACTACTGCATGACATTCCATCACTGCCAAGACTCCCGTGAAAACTACCGTGCAGTGAACTAGATAGTGGACCTGGAGAAGCTGGAGATGCTGTCAATGGTGACTTGGATCTCACTGAGTCAGCCCGTGATCTAAAAATAAAATCAGTTGTTATTAATTTTTGTTATTTGTTCATTTTTTTTTTTTTTGTAATCTTTGTGCGCATTTTAATTAATGAGTCGGCATGATTAGCTGGAAAAATAATTTATCAATTGCAAATAAAATTATGAGTGTGTTAAATCTACACTGTAAAAATTTTGAGATTTTTATTTTTAATAAATAAATCAATTTTTAATTTTAAATTAATAAAAATTTATTAATTTTTTAAATATTAATTATAGTTATCAAAAAAAATTAACGAACATTAAATAATAATTAATGACTTTTGTTAAATTGCACAGTACTTTTTTAACTATTGACGTTTTTAGAGATATAAGCTCATTCCGATGTTACACTCATCAAGAGCTTTCATTTGAGTACCCACACGCATTTTGATATATTTTTTATATATTCATATATATATAAATATATATAAATATATGAAAAATTGATGTGGGTACTCAAATGAAAGGTATCGATGAGTGTAACATCGGGATGAGCTTATATCTTTAAAAATGTCAGTAATAGGCCAGATATATTGATATTTTTAAAGATGTAAGCTCATCCTGATGTTATACTCATCAAGAGCATTCATTTGAGTACCCACATGCATTTTTATATATTTTTCATATATTCATATATAAATATATCAATATATAGAATATATGAAAAATAGATGTGGGTACTCAAATGAAAGGTCTCGATGAGTGTAATGTCGGGGTGAGTTTATATCTTTAAAAATATCATTAGTTGACAAGATACAAGGTCATTTCTTAATTATGTATCTAGAGATAGACCATTTTCGATAACAGCCTAAATACTTATCATCATAAAATGACTAAAAAATTTTTATCGAAAAAAAAAAATTTACTCCGGAGTTTTTTAAATCACTAAAAATAATCCATCCAAATTTTTTACAGTCTAATCAATGTACAAGTACACTAAGTCTAAAGTTCAGAGCCTAGTCTAAAGTTTGATGTCGAGAATAATGATTAGTTTAAATAAAAAAAGTTACTAAATAAAAAGTAAATGTAAAATACAAGTACAAACATACAATAATAATAATGTATAAAGAGACAAAGACGAGCGTGAAGATGATGTCGATTGTTGGCTAAAAAATCAGCTTAATACAGTGTACCTTTCAATTTGATCGACAAACGCAACAGCCTTCTTTTTGGTCCTGTTTACATTCAGTGATGGCATACTACAAAATTGTATTTTACGGTGTACTCAACTGTATTTCTTTGCATTAGAACAAACCTACAAACTAACGACATTATTGTTGTTATTAACCCGAGTCGGGTGATACTTTTGCAGCACGATAAATAATTAAATAAATTTTATTCTATCAGAAAACTATTTAATATCAATTTAAATACTCATTAGCTCATTACTGATTGTTAATTAATTAACTATTAATTACTAGAACTAGAACTGACAATTACTAAGGCTAAAACTACACTACTTAATTTAAAAAAAATACTACATACATTCGTAAGTAATAATAATTATGGATTATATTTGGAGTTATTGTTGTTATTGTTTATTAATTTAATTATATGGATGCTTGGAGTGTATTGTGGGTTTAAGAAGAAAAGTAAACATTTTTTTTAGTGTAATGACTGCTGTCGGACGACAAATGTAACGGAGCGTAACAAAACTGAGATTGGCTTCCGTGGTGTCATTAAGAAAAATAGTGTCACCCTTTGAGAGATTGCGATATATTTTTTTCTTAAGTTTTTTTCAGGTGTAAGGAAGTCACTGGTGTTGACAAAATTTTAAGAGAAATATTAAAATTTTTTTTAATATATATTTTTTTACTCCACCCTACTATGCATAAATTATAAATTTTAATCATTGGCTCGATTTTTAATTTTATATATATTTGTATAATAAAATTTTAATAAATAAAAAAAAATTTCAACTGTGTAAAGTTCATGGTTCAAAAAAAAGAACTCTTGACAAATTTTTTTTCAACTCAGTGACTCCTTAGTGTATATATACACTAAAAAAAAATTCCTTTTTAGCTCAAGAAAATATTAATGAAGATTCTTGAGCCAAGAAAATTTCTTCTTGCTCCAAAATAACTTTTGTCTTCCTTATCTTCCTTAAAATTTTTTTGACGCAAAAAAATTTTTTTTTTTGTGTATAAAAAAAAAACCCATTGTATAAGTAATAAATAATAATATAAATCAAATTCTGTTAGTTAATTAGTAAATAAAAAAATGTAAAAAATAATTACATGTGTTATTAAATGATATATCTTACCTACTAGACTTGGGTGTAACAATATCCCTAGTTTCAGAGGTATATTTTCTTTCAGCTCGTCCACCGTTGAATAACTCAACAGTCTCACGTGTTACAGTCTCGAGAAGAGGCTCGCCACCTCTGCGACCTTTGCTAAAGGTCCTCTGGTCAGTCTTCCGGACCATCACCACTCTTGACAACGGTTGATTGAAATCATGACCGTGCATTGTCGGCGGTATCATCGCTAGTGACTGCGATAGCGGCCCTCCCACCCTTGGGGACCTGAAAAAAATATTGTTATCAGCACACACTTTTAACTAAATAATTTAAAACACTTTGCAGTAAATTAAATATACCAATTATTAATTTATAAGGGTATTTCATAAATACAATGTTTATTTAATCTCAGAAATCGCGGAATCATTTCCTAGATTGCGTATTCAATTACTCAACTTTATTTTATAACTATCAACCATTTCACATTTAAATTCATTGTATTTTTAATTCAATTATTTAATAATTGTTATAATAATATTAATAATGGTTATTGTTTGTACATAGAGTTTAAAATATTATTTAAATCTCAACAAGACAGGACAACAAGCGTCATGTCTGCAAGAACAGAGTTAACTGATTGCAGGACTCAACATCGCGGGAGAATGTTCTTCTGGTTGGTAGAGAAGTGGCCAATTAGCCGTTACTCTAAGTATATATATGTATTTATAAACCATGTAACTAAGACTTTCATTACACGCCAATTTTTATTAAATAAATAAATTATTTATTTAATGTATATTTTTTTTTTTTTTTTCTATTATTTTCTAAGTGAAAAACACATTTTGTAATTTAGAAATTTATTATAAAATATATTTTCTCTAAAAATTTATTTATTATTAAGTAGAAAAATTATTAAACTGAGAAATTTTTTTTTTAGTTTAATTAATTCAAAATTTTTTGATAAAAAATTATTAAGATCTTTAAAATAATTTTCTTAGTTCATAATTTTTTTTCCTGAAATTTTTTTTTAGTGTATTATTATTATTATTATTATTTGTTCTTAATATTATTATTAGTAATCCATTGGCTCGATTTTTAATTTTATATATATTTGTATAATAAAATTTTAATAAATAAAAAAAAATTTCAACTGTGTAAAGTTCATGGTTCAAAAAAAAGAACTCTTGACAAATTTTTTTTCAACTCAGTGACTCCTTAGTGTATATATACACTAAAAAAAAATTCCTTTTTAGCTCAAGAAAATATTAATGAAGATTCTTGAGCCAAGAAAATTTCTTCTTGCTCCAAAATAACTTTTGTCTTCCTTATCTTCCTTAAAATTTTTTTGACGCAAAAAAATTTTTTTTTTTGTGTATAAAAAAAAAACCCATTGTATAAGTAATAAATAATAATATAAATCAAATTCTGTTAGTTAATTAGTAAATAAAAAAATGTAAAAAATAATTACATGTGTTATTAAATGATATATCTTACCTACTAGACTTGGGTGTAACAATATCCCTAGTTTCAGAGGTATATTTTCTTTCAGCTCGTCCACCGTTGAATAACTCAACAGTCTCACGTGTTACAGTCTCGAGAAGAGGCTCGCCACCTCTGCGACCTTTGCTAAAGGTCCTCTGGTCAGTCTTCCGGACCATCACCACTCTTGACAACGGTTGATTGAAATCATGACCGTGCATTGTCGGCGGTATCATCGCTAGTGACTGCGATAGCGGCCCTCCCACCCTTGGGGACCTGAAAAAAATATTGTTATCAGCACACACTTTTAACTAAATAATTTAAAACACTTTGCAGTAAATTAAATATACCAATTATTAATTTATAAGGGTATTTCATAAATACAATGTTTATTTAATCTCAGAAATCGCGGAATCATTTCCTAGATTGCGTATTCAATTACTCAACTTTATTTTATAACTATCAACCATTTCACATTTAAATTCATTGTATTTTTAATTCAATTATTTAATAATTGTTATAATAATATTAATAATGGTTATTGTTTGTACATAGAGTTTAAAATATTATTTAAATCTCAACAAGACAGGACAACAAGCGTCATGTCTGCAAGAACAGAGTTAACTGATTGCAGGACTCAACATCGCGGGAGAATGTTCTTCTGGTTGGTAGAGAAGTGGCCAATTAGCCGTTACTCTAAGTATATATATGTATTTATAAACCATGTAACTAAGACTTTCATTACACGCCAATTTTTATTAAATAAATAAATTATTTATTTAATGTATATTTTTTTTTTTTTTTTTCATTATTTTCTAAGTGAAAAACACATTTTGTAATTTAGAAATTTATTATAAAATATATTTTCTCTAAAAATTTATTTATTATTAAGTAGAAAAATTATTAAACTGAGAAATTTTTTTTTTAGTTTAATTAATTCAAAATTTTTTGATAAAAAATTATTAAGATCTTTAAAATAATTTTCTTAGTTCATAATTTTTTTTCCTGAAATTTTTTTTTAGTGTATTATTATTATTATTATTATTGTTCTTAATATTATTATTAGTAATCTTAAAAAAATTTAATATTAAAATTTAATAAAAAATTCTACTAATAATTCTTGACAATTTTTACAAATAAAAAACTCATTTTTAAAAATTTTTTTTTAAATAAAGTAAATTTTTTTCTTGTGTATTATTATTATTATTGTTGTTGTTGTTATTGGTCTTAGTATTATTATTAATAATCTTAAAAAAAATTTAATAAAAAATTCCACTAATAATTCTTTAAAATGTCTGTAAATAAAAAATAAATTTTTTTTTAATTTTTTTAACAATCTAAATATCAAAACAAACCATAAAAAATATCCACTGATTTAATTATCATCAAATTTAATTGACTAGACCCTGAATTTACAGCTTTGAGACGAAAGCAATAAATGACTAATTTATTCCACTAGCAGATTAATGTAAAAAATTAATTTGACATTGAAAAATTTACTTTCTCAATATTTAAATTTTTAACTTAAATTATTTTAATCTAAAAATAAAAATAAATTAACTTTCTTTTCAATAATTATTTTCAAAGTTGAGTAATTATGTGCTAGAATTTTCTCAAGATTTATCAATCAAAAGTTAAAAAAAATTTTTATCCAAGTAAAAATATTGACTTTAAAAATTAAAACAAATATTTGTGCTTAAATTACTTAATACTTAATATAATTATTTTTAATCAAAGAAAATTCTTGACATGATTAATATCTGAGTAAAGGACAATCTGTGGTTATATATGATATAAATATATGTATATATGGGGATTAATGTAATGTAACGATAGTAACGAGTTCGTGAGCGGCCGAGTGAGTACCGCTATTCCGGTTGACCGGGATCAGTGCTCTGGAACACAAGTTAAGCGGCATCTTCAACACAACTCTTCCCTACATACACTAATAAAGAAAAAAGAGAATGAGTTAAATGTAAGAGTAAAAATAAAAAGCAAATTTCTCATCTTCATCTCATATTCCTAAATATATAAATATAAGACACGTGTGCGCTCACGTGCTGACACTACTTGATAGCCGGTTTTATACGCACGTGCTTACATTAGCTCTACGTGTATCACTACGGCCAATTATCCGCGAAGTTATTTAACTTACTATCTTACTTATCTACTCTACATCCTACGTCTAGTTATTTTAGTCTTTATTCATTTTTACAACAAAAACAAACACGGAAATTGAGTGAAAATCATTCACGGGCTCTGTATATTTATTGGTATTTTTAATAAAATTTATATCGAACATCTAATTAGCGATTAGGTCTAACTACTTATTTTTAAAAGTGATTTTTTAAGTTTTTAATGTAGCAATAGTTTATTTATTTATTTATTAGTTTATTTATTTATATAATTTATTTATTTATATTTATTTTGCCAAATAACAAAAATGATATATGGGTGATTCTCTGTAAGGGCGTCTTAAATCAATACAAAGTTGTCCGACTAAATTATTTTTGATTTTATTAGAAAAAAAATTAACAAGGGCTACAAAACTATTAACTTAATCATAATAAATAAACAGCCGAATTAATTTTTGCTTTTTCGATATTTGTGTATCTTGTGCCATGTAACATGACAGGGGACTGTTTTTTTCTTATCAAATTGAGAAAAATCAAGCAAACTATTTCAATGCATTCAATTTTTTAAGTTCTCAATGAATGTTTACATTAATTAGAATAATATTAAGACTTATAGATCCATTTTTATAAATAAATTACATATAAAAATAGTTGCCAGGGGACTGAGTTTTGTAGTGGCCCAGACACATATTTCCAGCACAAACGGTGCTTTAACACTAAATAAAATGCCGATAAAGCGCTAACAGCCCTATGGTTATTAACTTAAGGCTAGTAAGATCCTTATAAACTTTACAAAAGGTAAAATAACACGCTGGATTTTTTTATTTTTGGCTTTGAACTTCTGGCAGGGGACTGTACTTAAAATGCCTGGGACAGACTTCGATTTGATGAAATTAATAAAACAAATTAATTTTCGGTACTTTTCATTGAAGAAGATTGTTAGTTAACTAATTAAGTTTATAAACATTGTGGACCAAATTATATATTACGAACGAATAACTTAAAATTTAATCTTAAATTTTTAATTTGGGGAGTGGGACAGCCCAGGGGACTGTCATTTTGGTGGTTTACGAATTTATAGCAAAAAAACCAAAATTTATTTCATTTCAATTTTCAATGCTCCAAATAGAAATGTTTTTTTGCTTTCATAATAAATTTTTTTTAGTAACAAAATAACAATTTTTCTAATAAAACAATGCCTGGGACAGCAAAAAACATCCTTACAGAGAATCACCCATATATAAAGTTATACTTCACATAAGTACAGCTAATACATAAATAATAAAAATATAAAATTTACATAATATTTAAATGGACATAATGTTTTTAATCATATTAACCATAATAGTCCAATTATTAATTATTTAAATGATCAAAACCTACAAATTATGCCTCTATTGTATATTAGATTATTTTTTAAAGTGATAATAAATTTTGAACTAATTATTTTATTGTATAAATGGAAGATTCTCTCAAATTGAGTTAGACAATTTGCTAATTAGAACATTGATATGCGTTATTTATGACTAAGATTCCTTACAGAGCAAATTTGGTTCATATTTTTGAGTTTATCTAAAAAATTGCAGAAAAAAGGAATGAAATTTAGAAAAATATAATTATTAGAGCATAAATTTATAAAATATCAGCTGCGTCATTTAATAAAAAAAAAATTCTTGGATCAAAAAAGAGATTCATATTCTTGATTTAAATTTAAAAAAAATTTTTTTTTATAAGTAAACAAACATAAATTAACTATAAAAAATTTATTAATAATCTTATCTTAGTATTAAAGATTTCTGTTAGTTATAGTTATTCCAGCAACAGCTGCTATGTTTTTCAACGGTAATTAAAAATAAGCTTAGTAATGCCTTCTGACTTGCAGTTACAACTTTAAAATTTTTTTAAGACACTAAGAATAAGATTCTAAAGATTTAATAATTATAAATAAATTTTTAACTTGTCCTTTATTAATTTTTTATTGAAAAAAAAAATATTTCTTCTATTTTATTTTAGACAAAATTTATGTAATTTTTTATTATTTAAAGATTTGGTCAATATTAAACCCATAATCGTATTTTAAAAATGATTTTAATACACATTTTTTAAAAATAAATTTTTATTTTTGTCTGCAATAATAAAATAAAAGAAAAAATAAATTTGCCGGCTTATCGTAACCTAAGTGAAAGTTCAATACTTCGGAAGGACTAATAAAAAAAGAAACAAAATGAATTTATAAATAATAGCATTTATAAATAAAACAACCGTTATTATTATTATGCTTGTATAAAATATATACTGTGAGATAATTTATTAATTTACGTATTACTTGTAACATATTTTTTCTGCAAAGGTAAATATTACCGCATCTGCTTGAGAGAACGTAACATTATTATTGTTATACTACAATATGCTTCACATTCTTTTTATCGTATAAAAAATTCAAAATACTCCGACTATAAAATGAAACGTGAGTTTGTTTTTTTTTAAACTTAATAATTTTATACTTAAAATAATCTGCTAGGTAAAAAATAAATCCACTCTAATCCTGAATTAGAATTATAAAAGTAACTCAATTAAATAAATTTTGAATGACTATTGTAATTCAAATCCCGAGGCTATGAGATCACCGGGAACTCAAAATAAAAACTCGTAAAAAGTGACTAGTACGTAACAATTGAAAAAACACAATAACGCGCTGTACTTGCTCACGTTACGATTATCTTCTCATAGACAACACACTAAAGGATAATTATTATGTAAGAAACGATATGTCGCCGGTGACATTGAGCCGTGGGCCAGTGAACACAAGTATTCCTTATATTTATTATGACTATGATATACTGGTGTCACCTGTAAGGTTAAATAAGAAAATTTTTTGAATTTAAAGAGAAATGTTGGGACTAAGTCCAAGAATTATTGATAATGTTCTTGAGAAAAATTATTTAAAGGTCTGAAATTTTCATTTGAATTACAGCGGGGAAAACTGCAGTAAAATCTTCTGGTCCTCTAATTAATATTATTTTATAGATTTTAATTTTTGTCAACTATAAATTCCTCTTGTCAACTATAAATAAATAAAATTTTGCTTTATTAAATAATGCCTTTTGTTAAATTGCACTATACTTTCTTAAATATTGACGTTTTTAATGATATAAGATCATCTTGATGTTACACTCATCAAGAGCTTTCATTTAAGTACCCACATCAAATTTTCATATATTTTTCATATATACATATATATTATATCAAAATGCATGTGGGTACTTAAATGAAAGGTCTCGATGAGTGTAACATCGAGATGAGCTTGTATCTTTAAAAATGTCAATAATTAAGAAATTATATCGTATTTTGTCAACTTATAATATTTTTAAAGATATAAGCTCATCCCAATGTTACATTCATTAAGACCTATCATTTGAGTACCCACATGCATTTTGATATATTTTTCATATATACATATATATATACATATATACATATATATAAATATATGAAAAATTGATGTGGGTACTCAAATGAAAGGTCTCGATGAGTGTAACATCAGGATGAGCTTATATCTTTAAAATTGTCAATAGTTCATAGGATACATAAATAATCGATTAAGAACAATAAAAATCAATTTATACTGAAGAATAAAAATTAGTTTTTACTAATTGTAAAATAACTATAATTTAAAATAATTTCAACCTAAATTTTTCTGAGGAAAAATTTCTCTTTAAATTCAGGCACACGCAAAGCATAATTCAACCTCATTTTCTCATTTCTATATTAACAACTATAAGATGAACTTTCTTTAAAACAGCTAAATAATTAATTATTTATGTATTGTGAATTTATATTAATGGATTTTTACCTTGACATGAAAAATTAATTTATTCCCGCGTATTTAAATAAAATTTATAGTAATGATGATGATTGAATGTTGAGCAGTGATTCAAAATTTAAAGGAATAAGTTTTATTTGTTTTTTTAAATTGTTTTAGTAAACACCTGATGTATCAATAAGTAGCACTGATGTAAGTGCCTGTATATTGACGATGATTATTCTAATGACCGATAATTATTACTTATGTAACTAGGCATTGTAAGCGAGAGTATGATGCGATCAGTTGAACAATGCGCTTGAAATGATTGTAAGTAAGACAATTTATATTATAAAATATAAATTAAAATAATAACAACAATAAAAATAATACTTATCTATAAAAGAAAAAAAGAATAGTGTTTATTATTGGTTTTATAAATTCATTCATTATTTAATTATTGTAATAATAATTACAAAAGATATTTGTTCTTTTTGATCTCATAAATTTGAATTGTTATTTCGATATTTTTAGGCCAAAAAATATCAAAGAGGTTTTAAATTGCTTTGAGGTTTTTGCTGTCTGCGTCTTTGTCTTCCGGACAAGACTTATTATTAAAACTCGAGATATTTTAAGTAAAAAATAATTATGTGGTTTGTACGCATTTGTTTTCCGACGCCTCTGTTATGAATATGATGGATGTTTTTGAGATCGTGGGATTTTTGATTCTCATCGTTCAATAATAGGTTACTTAATTACAGGTTTTAAATTTTTAAATTTGATTAATAATAATAATAATAAAAATAGAATTGATAAAAAGAATATTAAAAATAACCTTTGTAATTTAAGGTGACAAATATTTTTTTTATTTTCTGAATAACTTATTTTTGTTTGCATTACCGTAAATAATGTTTTGATAACACCGGTCGTATTTAATAGCGTGTCATTTTTAAAAAAAATTTCAAAGAAATTATTGAAATAAATTTAAGCAAGAATTTTTTGAATGATAAATTGAAGCAATAAAGAGAAATATATTTTTGTTTGTACTAAGTTTTATCAGATACAAACATTTAGTATTTAGTTATTTATAACAATGATGTACTGAGCGTATAATTATTAATTTATATGACTTAATTAGTGTTACTATTAAGATAAATGTATTTAGTTGGATTTAAATGACTTTTTTTTAATGTAATAAGTTTTTTCATGGTCTTACCGCGGTATCTAATCAAAAATATTCGATGTTTTTTTAGATGTTTGTAAAATAAGATTAGTTTAATGACTAATAGGTAAAACGAATTTTCCTTGTGACTTTTCAAGTTAATTGATAAAATTGTAATTAAAATAATATTATAAGTTGATAAGTATATTTTTTATCAAAATAATAATAAGAAAAATTGATACTTTTAATTTTACATTAATTTTAAAGCAATAAAAAAAATACAGTTGATTATAATTTATAAAGCATCAAAATTTGGATCAATACTTGAATAAATTTTTTGATTTTATTTTAATGAGAGTATAACTTAAAAAGTTGGTGAATTCCACATTATTGATCGATTTTATCAAACAAACAAACAGAAAATATACAAACATAATTATACATTTTTATATCCTGACGGTTTTATCGACCATAGAGGTCATACAGGCGCAATATTAACGTAAAGTGAATGCTCAGACTGTTAATTCTAGAATAAAGTAGAAATACCGGAGGTCAAGTTCAAGGTTTTCACGGCGTTAATAATTACATAACACTGTCACTGTAATTTCAAAACTCCCGATGATTAAATCCTTTTCCTCTGAACGACTTAAAAAATTATTTTTCACTTTCGTGGCCTTTAAAAACAATGACTCCTTAAAATTAATTCAAAAAAGCCGCGTCATATATTTAATATAAAAATAAACACCAAAGAGCATTCTTAAGATAATTTTGGAGTCTTTGATTAAGTTGTGCGGTTATGAATTTAAATGAACACCCATGTCGCCATACCCATCGCCCGTATCGACCCCAGATGCGCGTACATGCACGCGGTAATGTTAATCCATATTGTAAATTTTATTTTAACATTACGAAACACAAATACAAATAGAGTTGTGCTATATATATATATATATATATATATATATATATATATATATATATATATATATATCGAGTGTGTCAACCTGGAAATTTGAGACTCACGAGGATCCAATATTTATCAACGATAACCATCAATTACAAATTTATAAATTATACATATGCTCAACTGTGTATTTAGCAATTTATTTTTTATTTTTATGACCTGAAATTTTTTATCAACGATACTGCAGACTTATAAATTATATTATTTATTACTTTCAAATTGTAGCGTAGCTAATAATATATTTTAAAACAATGACGGGAGAATTTATTTATAACGACGTCTAATCAAATAACATTTATCATTAATTCGATCAATTATCATAATCCATAATCTATAATCCATTATAAATCATAAATTATTAAACATCAATATGATCTATCAAATAAAACAGTAAAAAATTAATTATACTTCTTTATGTTCACTTGATCTATTTTTTTCTTCACTAATCTCCTGTCTATCAAATTTTATATTTTTTATGATTTTTAATTAGTTTTTTATCAAATTCAAATTTTTTTTAATTAAGATAATTAGTGACTTTTTATTAGTATTATTAATCAATTTTTTATGCGCCTAAAATTTTTTTAATTTTATAAAATTATTGTGAAATTATTTTTTAGTATTTAATTTCTTATTAAAATACAAATTTTATTGTTTTTTTTATTAAATTATTGTAATTTTATAATTAATGCAATTTTTTAATAATTTTTCAGAATAAAATTAATTTTTTTTTCTATTCATATTTTTAATAAATTTATTTTTTATTCATATTATCAATTATTAAATTGCAATATATTTTTTTCTAAGAAATAAAATTATCAAATTATAATAAGCAAGCAAATTTTGTTCATAAAAAAAAAATTATTACCCAGATAAGAATTTTTTAGCTAAAAAATTTGTCAAAGTGAAACAATACATCACTATCTGCCTTTATTATTATAAATAATTGTCAGAATAATTTTATAAATTTAATAAAAGTATTTTCCGTAAATTTAAATATTTTTATTTTAAAAGTTTCTTTTAAATAAATAAAAATTAATTTTTTTGCAAACCAAAAAAATATTTTTTACCCCAACAAACCAAATTAAATAAATAATTTTCTTTCAGAATAATCCAACCCAGGTTTTTTCCTAAATTTATGATTAATACCATTTTTTGTAAACCAATTATCAATTATTAAGTCGTAAAATATTTTTTTTAAGAAATAAAATTATAAAATTACAATAAACAAGCAAATTTTGTTTATAAAAAAAAATTATTGCTTAGACTAGAATTTTGTAGCTAAAAAATTCGTCCAATTAAAACAATACTGCCTTTATTATTATAAATAATTTTATAAATTTAATAAAAGTATTTTTCTTTTAAAATTTATAAAAAAAACTTTCTTACCCTAACAAACCAAATTAAATAAAAAATTTCCCTTAAAAATTCTCCAACCCAGTTTTTTTCCTAAAAAATTTCCCACATAAAAACTCAAGCCCCATCCTACAAAACGAAAAACAAATCTTCGAGTCCGGAAAAGAAAAACAATAAAAAATTACCTCACGGAGTAGGACCTTCCCGGTTTGGAGGTCATCGCACCGTGACGATGCAGTAGACTCAACTTAAATCGATTATCTCGTGACGTCTTCTCCTTGATAGAATTATTATATTTTATACACTGTTATTAAAATTACGCCTCGACACACATTCAAATAAAACTCCAAAACTATGCAATGTATGTTAAATATTAAAATATCAATACCCGGCACGTTAATACTCCACACGTGGACGATGCCTATAGCAAATAATTGCCCTAAAAAATCTCTACTAAACACGTGTCATTCTTCTTTAGCTCCACATACGACACTACAGCATTCCAGCGAAGTTCTAGTGCTCCAGTTTTTGCTCCAGACTCTAGATAACCAGATCAGAGATAACTTATCACTTCCGTCCGCTTCTAAGTGACTTTTCTTTACTTCCTCAATATAAATACTAAACGTCAATAATTTTTTTTTTAAGTTCAATTACCCATAAATTATTTTTTAACATTAATCTCTAATATTTTTCTCTATTTTTGTCTATTCTTTATTTATCGATACCGCGACACAGAAAAAGGGCAAATGAAGCCTCGGAGACACTAAACGCCGACAACTCACGGCCATCGATGTCCATCCTCAAGATCGAGGTCGGGACATAAATCACTAACATCTTTAGCGTCACTTATTGCGAAAAAGTTAATTAATAATAATTATAATAACAAATTATTTCTTAATTAACATTTAATATTTTTTTTAAATAAATTTCATATTTAATTTTATTTGTTTTTTTTTGTTTTTATTATTAATAATAATTAATGTTTATTGTTAATAATAATAATTTTTACTTCCGTTGTGATTAAAAGTATGCGAAGAATTTTAATCAATTACATTTTTATTTTTAAATTTAAACACTAAAATTTATTAAAAAAATTTCTTAGTTTGCACTGCAATTATTATTGTAAAAAAAGACACAATTTACTTCACTAGTGAAATAATTTTTGGCAAAAATTGAGGAAGATATTTTTTATTACTTCCTTTAATTTTAATTATTATTGGTAATGTTATTTGATTAAGATAATTTAAATTGATAATTGAGAAAAACGTAGACGTTATTCCGGCAATCGTCGATAGAGGAATGGAGTGTAGACGTGAGAGCCAGGCGCAAGTTGAGTGGTGAGTCTGCGATTCGTGAGTGGGAGTTGGAGCTTCGATCGAACAGAACAGAATGTTCCGAGGGTGGGTCGCGATGAGAGGGGACGGATATAGACGAAACAGGGGGCCATTCGGGTGTTTTTATACTGATGCATTTAGGGTGCAGTTTTCTTGCCTCGGTTATTGCATTGGTTTTTAATTTAAGTGCAAATTGACTGTTTAATTTATTTAAAATCCAAAAGAATTTTATTTTTTTTAAGTAAATTAATATTTTAATAATTTACAAAAATTTGTCGTTGATTTTTAATATTTATTTTAATATAAGGCTCCATCTTTTCCAGACGTAGAAAATTTTTTTTTATTTTTTATGACGGACTTATAAATAATTTAATAAAAATTTTACCTACAAAAAAATAAATTCTTAAGTAAAAAATACAATTTTATTTTATCAAAAAAATATTTATGAAGACAAAAATTATTTTGAACGAATTAGAAATTTTATCGCTTTAAAATTTTATTTGAAGAAAAAAATTTGAAAAACAAAAAAAAAGTGTTGGATTATAATTGAAACACTTTTAAAAAATTAATAAATTTTGACGTTCAATATTTTTTATTGAAAAACTTTGAAAATTAATGTTATAATTTTTTTTACAGTCTAAAGAATTTATTATTAATTATTAGTTATTGTTATTCATACGGTAAATAGTAGATTGAGTAACTTTATGGTCAATTATATTATTATGGGTTGGCTGAATGAAAATTTATCGAATGTAGATTGTAAATAGAGAGAAAAATGAAATAGATCGAGCGAATTATTAAATTAAAATAAATATCGACAAGGTTGTTTACATAAACTACGTACATTGATACTGTATTATCTATCACAGGTGTTGTTAGGTATATTAATATTCTTCCTACCACCAAGGTGACTGATTTGAATTTTCCAAAGGCTTATCGCGTTGTTAAAGGTTGTGTAAACCTACTGCCTTTGATATTTGTTATACATTATTATATATGTTATTTACATCTATTGAAATTAAATTTAAAATAAATTGTTTACTGACCACACAGTTAAGTAATGTTAACAATCTTTCTGAGGATTTTAATCATGTTTCTAAAGGTGTTGACGTTCACTGCTTTTGAAATTTTAATAATGAAAGGTATTACTCATTTTTTGTGGCAATTCCATTGATATTCTTTGTAAATATTCAAATTTTAAATATTTAAATTGTTTTTTAAATTCTTAGAATCTTAAAAATTATATTTTAAAACTCGTAATGATTTTTTGAAGTTTAATTATTCTACTTGATAATTTTTTATTGAAATTTTACTAAAATTTTTTGGTTTTTTAAATTTTTGTCTCCAAAATGTTTTAGAATTTTTAATTAATTAATTTGCTTAATTTTAATTATTATTTTCTTTTAATAATTTTTATCAAATAATTTTATAAATTTACTCTATATTAAGAAATAAATAAATAATATTTGATAAATAAATAAAATATATTTCAAAAATTAAAAATATTTCAATCTAAAATAAAAAAGTATTATAATTTTTTTTTTAAATAAATTTCTCCTAAAAATTAAATTATTTTTAATCCAAAACTAAAAATTTCTAGAATATTTTCCCTCAAAAAAAAAAAAAAGATCTTATAAATTTTGAAACTGCATGGTACGGGACATTCGACCTAAGACCCGAGACGTAAATGATCCGCGAGCCGAACTAATTACATCTAGTAATAGATGAGCGTAAAGCGAGAAAAATAACTGTAGGAATGAAGAAGAAATACAAGTAATTAAAGAAGGTACGTGCATTCCAAGCATGTTCCAGACGCATAAATCCCTCACCAAGAGGATGACATACCTATCCGACGTGGTGATAAATATAAACTTTGCTCAAAATATGTCATGCGACATTTCACGTCCAAATTTCAAAGCTTCCGGCATTCTTTCAAATATTGTGATTGTATTTATTTATAAACAAAAATACTTTCAATTGAACGACTCCCGCCGCTATTCCTGCTTAAAAGTTTGAAAAATAAATAAAGTTCGAGTTAGCATGTGTATTATGTCACCGAGTCGCGAGCTCAAGACTTCCGTTGAGGCTTCCGGCGATCGGAACGTAAACGAGAATACACTTTCTCCTATCTGTACGGCTACATGATTTAAGTATGATAATGTATTAGTACAAGTAACTATACTCGTACTTGTCCCGTACAAATATAATAGTGTGACTGAGTGAAGAATGAACGAGTACTCTGTTTACAGTACACCTGTGAACTAGTTGGTACGACCTGTCGAGTGTAAAACCGTGCCACCGTGCCGATACACTGCTTCAGATTCTAGTCATGACGACGCCTTCTATTCTCCTCTCCTCGTATTATATTTATGTACGTATACATTGTCATGTATAACATAAATGTCTATACTACAGTCTATAGATACATTTTATATCTAACAGGTTAATCGATGCACCAGATTCCGTTTTCTTCACACTAAAATATTTTCTTATTTTTGGCTTGGAAATATAAATAAAATTTTTAGCGTATTGATTTTTAGCAGATTATTATTATTATTACTAGCAATCTTGCAGTCACATAGTGACTGCTGTGATTTGTGAACTGTAAATGAATAAAATTTTGCTTTCTTAAATAATGACTTTTGTTAAATTGCACTGTACTTTTTTAATTATTGATAATTATAAAGATATAAGCTCATCCCAATGTTACACTCATCAAGAGCTTACATTTGAGTACCCACATGCATTTTTGATATATTTTTCATATAAACATATATATAATATATATTTTGAAGATATAAGCTCATCCCGACGTTGCGCTCATCAAGAGCTTTCATTTGAGTACCCACATGCATTTTTGTTATATTATTCATATATATTTATATATAATATATATATAAATATATATATATTGTATATAAATATATGAAAAATTGATGTGGGTACTCAAATGAAAGGTTTCGATGAGTGTAACATCAGGATGAGCTTATATCTTAAAAAATTTCAATAGTTTAGAGAGGCCACAAAATTTGACTTATTCTCTTAATAATATAGATTATTCTTCCTTTATTACGAAAATCTTGAAACTTTTTTATTAATAAAAATAATAATAGTTTATAAGATTGAATTACTATTATCATTATTTTAGGTAAGCTATTAAAAATACGAAAAAACCAATAAGAGATAATTTTTGTAGAAAATAAAATTCTTCATAAAAAAGATCTTTGATCTTTTGATCTTTCAGACAGAATATTGGTTTAAACAAAAAATGAAAAAATATTATTGCACACGTGAATCAAAGGAGGGACAGATAAATGAATTAAAAAGGGATAATATATGTAATAAAAATGATTAACCTTTAGTAATATCATCTGGGAACCTTTAACATCACACATAACATACACAGCATCTCGTTCAAATATATATAATATCTTGGTTTGAGTGTATGAAAGCTCGTACATAAATAACAACGCGGAATGTTATGTTTGTACTAAGTGACTTCGTTGAGAGAAAGGATGGATGCATATACAAGTGTGCAGATGATTGTGTTGAAAGATAATTTATTCGTAGGTAAATTATTCTCTCAGCGTATGTATTTAACACTTAATATGTATGCAATAAGATCCTATTTGTACTGTAACAATTATTTAAACTTATTTTATTATTAACAACTTTCTTCTATTTAAATAAATTATTTTTTGTTTTCTAGAGTAATTGTTATTAGACTGCCGTTATCAAGCAATTACAATCTAATTATACTATTTACTTTATGTTAAATAATTAATTACCTCGAGAAATTCTGGTATTATTTCATTATTTAATTTATTTATTTATTTATTTTTTCATATTAATTGACCTATTTTTCTTTTTTTTTTTTGAATAATAA